GGGGGGGGGGGGGGGGGGGGGGTTGTTTTACTATCATCTGTTTTTTGTGCGTTTCTTTTTAATACTGGAAAACCCGCTGATCATTCAATCGAGAGTTCAAACGTGTGATTTGGAGCTGGCGGAGTCGAAAAAACTGCCTCAGTTTTTCTCCGCCCGCCAATTTCCCGGAAAATCGACATTTTCCGAAGAAAAAGGACTTGCCCAGGGAAAATTTTAACTTTTAGAGAACTGGTGCAAAAATGAAAAATAAATAATTCCTCCCTGGATTCAACAGCCATAAATGCCTTGGAGAGCGTGTAGCTGCTAGAAATCATTTGGACATTTTTGGGTGGTGCATGGGAACAAAGATAATTTTTACTGAAGTGTGCAAATTGCGGAAATTTCTCACGAAATACCCTGCATCTTCGACAAGACAGACCTGGCAATACAACTCTGCAAGAATTTATATGGTATACCACTTGAGGGGACATCCGAAGATGACATCTGGAGTTTTCCCTAATTTCCCGACCCATCGGCTTAAAGTGGCTTAGAATAAAAAAAAAAATTTCGGCTCGACTGAATTGCTTCGTATCTAGTTATAAACCTCAGATAGATAGTAAAACATGGAAAAAAATTGATATTATTATGTGAAAACCGGACTGCAGTTAAAGAGCGAGAGAGAGAAAAAAACAAGCCAATAAGCCATTTCCACTTGGCAAGCCACACAATTTAATCATCCATTCATATTCCCAAGGAGTATAGCTGCAATGTGAACGGACTACCACTGCACTGCACTAGTGTACAAATGAAAGGGAAAGTTTCCCAACATGTACGCAATGAAACTACTTTGCTGAATTCATTTCAAACAGGGGGAATAGTTTGTAGGTGAATTACAAGAACCACGAAAATAATTTAATATTAATTGGATCGAGTTCATCAGAAAGGAACCAAGCCTAATTATGTTGATGGATAAAATTAGGTTTAAAGTTGCATTTCTCCATAAGACTTGATGTAAAAAAATAACTTCAACCCCTTTTTTCACAAAGTAAATATTTATTCTGGTCTGAGAATTTTTGGTAGAAGAAAATGTACAACTAGTTGAGCTCAAAACCACTCATAACTCAGTTTTTTCCAAAATGTGGGTTGGTTCCTTTTTGAAGAACTCAGTCCAATTAAGGCATTGCCTTCAGAGAAAAGAGGACCACTCAAGGCCTTGGCAAACCAGTACAAATATCCTCCATATTCATCACAAAGTGCCTAGTTTGAAACTAGAGAAAGGAAAAAATTCATCTTATGGTAAGCCCTGAGCCAAAGTATGATGTGAATTATAAAAATGGGAATACAAGCAATTAATTATTCAAATACAAAAGCAGAAGGCTGCCGGTAAAATTGGAAACCTCAAAATGTAAGCAGCAAACAGACATTATTTGAACATCAGAAATAAAGTAGAGCGGTCCTCAGAAAGGGGGGACTGGCTGACTCCCTTCCACCAAACTTTGAATCAAATTTACTCGCTCATTAACAGTGGGCCTCTGAGAAGGATAAATGGGCCTTGCCCTCTCCCCCTCCAGTACCGATTGAAAATTCCCTGAAAAAAACTTGTAGATGTGCAAACAGATAATTAATTTATTTTATTCATTCATTATCTTACCTGGGAAGTCTGGCTTGAGTACGAGGGTGATTGGATCGAGTTGTTAAAATAGTCCAAGCCTTGTCCGTTTGATCCGTTGGCACTCCCGATGTAAGAGCTCCTGGGTGCATTCAGGTTAGTAAAAAGGTCAGAAACTGTCATGCGAGTATCAGCTGCAAAAATAACGCGAGGACACTTAAATTACTCAACCGCATGAGACTCTTCGTCAGAATCAAAGACAGAAAAACTAAGAAGAGAGGAGATTAGATCAGTGTTTGAAAACAGTTGCACAAATATTTCAATAAAATGGAGGCAGTGTGCAAACTAATAAATAATACACATACCAAGCAAAATCATTCCTGTGAGAAATCGGCTAAAAATAAGTTAAAATTCTTTCGGATTTCCCAACAGGTAGGACTAAAAATACTGATAGCATTGTGCATTGATACCGCAGAAGAGCATAAACCATGGGATATTAACTTGAAATAGGTAAATGAGAGGGCAGAGACATCTCTATATGCACTAATGACTGAATATGGTAATTAATGAGTATTTATAAAGGAATATCAACAGCAAGTTATCACCTGAATCAAAGGAGGAAATTGATTGCAATTCACAAGATACTTTAACTAGAACAAAAAATTTCCACGCATCAATCTACAGAAAACTGTCTCCTCAAAGAAAGAGCAGGAGGAGAGGCAGGCATAGATCTACACCGATTAACAAAGAGGTAATTTGGGACTGAATGATATAGCTTGGATAAGCAGGTAGGTGCGACTAATTAGGACTTGAGATTAATTTAACATTGCTGGGTTTTGAGTAAAACCAGGGAAGGATTAGAGGTGAAGATAAGTATGATTTGGCCATTACTTACTTGGAGGTGATGGGCTGAAAGATGATTCTGTCCTGCAATCAGAGTCAAGACTTCCCTGGCGATGAAAGACAACCTCATCTTCCTGTTGGAACCATGACCCAAGAGACGAATTTTTCTGCAAAAGTTAATAAAAATACTCAGTGAAAATTTGACAATTGACAGCTAACTTATCGGACATGGATTTGGAAAGGTAAATCCACTGATCAAAATTTATGTTGAGTTAAAGGCATTCCTACTTACTCTCTTGAAAAATTACATCCATCAGAAATTTGTGATTAACTTAAGTAACTGAAGTGGATGCATGAAATGATTGCCTCTTCATCAGCCAAAAAGGAGTTCAAAGACAAACATTTGACTGAAATAGAACGACATGAGACTGCTGAAGTCACTTGCTGACAATGTTAGGTACTTCGCATTAAGTAAGACAAGAATAGGCTTGAGTGGAGAAAAATCACGGATAAAATAAAAATTGGCTCCCTCTTAACCAAAGGATCTTCTAGACTAGGACTTAAAAGCTTCAGAACATACCTCGAACATGTTTAGTTGGAGTTCTAACAAGCTCAGAAACAAGAGGTAAGAGCTAAAATCTACAGGAGCAAAGCAAGGCTGCGAAAATACTAAGGTTAGGAAGAGAACTGAGCGAGGAAAATTTCGCTTTGAGGACGCCGAAAAGTGATAGAATTTTTAGACTTCAGCCACAGGTCCGACACATGGAGGTAGAAACGCTTCGTTGAGGAATCGTAGATGGAAGATAGAATTCATGTGCCGTAAATAATATGTATACACGTACAGGAGGATTCAAGAAAACAGGATACTCGGTAAATATTTGCGGAAAATTAGGTACGGTAGCGACGAAAGGTTAAGAGGTGACAACAAAATTTGTTAAACAAATCCACTGCCGTACTTCACATTCGTAGTGACTGCAAGGGAAAATTTAGTGAAATAGATAGGCCACAAGGTTCAAGAAAGTTAAACCTTAATTCACAGGTAACATGAAGCTTGCAGATTGATGTAAAGGGACAGAAAATTCAGGATGGATTTAACGTCCGTCGATCATGAGTCACTGAGAGGACAGAAAGTATGAAGCTACAAGTACACAAAAAATTAGCTAAAAATGTGTTGAGGAAAAACACTTACTTGTCGAAGTGTGCTGCCACTGAGAGGCATCTTAATGCAGTCGCCTTTCATGATTAAAACTACAAGTTCACTTTCAGTTTAACAACAAAACTGACACTAAAAGTTGATACAGAACTTAAAACTAAAGAAGTATCACCGGGTACGATCACGGACGCTTCCTCATCGGACGAGCGCGAGACGAACTCTGCGTCAGGAGGGATTCGCTCGGATTGGTTTCGCGCGGCGAAGAGGGGAGTGCGGGGTGGCCGCTGAAGTTGGAGAGTGGTACGGAGGGGGAAGGATAGAGAAAAAAGAAGGAGAAAAACACACGACTGATAAACCACCCCAGGTACTTCGGCGGCGTTTCTTGACCACAGATAAGGAAAAGATTTCGATTTCACATTGGTAAAATTAGCAAGAAAGGTGGCACGAGACAGGATGTGAATAAACGAACACCTGCACCTGTGATATTCTGTTGCCGATTTCGGGGAAAAGCGTCTGGGACCACAGACAAGGCTTCCCTCGACTCTGAGGGGCGGCACGCCCAAAGGCAAATGATTTGACTCGATGTGCGATAAGATGATTTCCAAAGGAGGAAATCTTACGCGATGCGTTTATCTTACATAATTTGCTACGTAGTTTTGTTTCGTAGAAAAAGGGGCGGAAATCGCAGGCAGAAAATCCCAAAAACCTGAGACAAGTGTCTCCCGAAAAAAAGCAGGTGTTCGCAAGAAAGGTGTCACGGATATAGAAATGGACAGTATTTTAAAGTAGAGTCCCCCTCTATTTTAAAGCAAGAAGGAAACAAGCCATATCAGCTAATTCCATTTAATTGGGCAATTTAATTATATACACATGAAAACTGTGTGCGGATTTTTGTACTTTCGGTGAATTTTCTGCTTATTTAATACATTGCAAAGTCCATAAAATTTTAACAGGATTCCGCACACATGTTCTTTTGTAAAAAAAATTAAATGAACCATTAAAATTTGACAGTAGGTAATGTGACTCGGTTCCTTTCTGCTTAACGCGGTCCAAATCAGTAGTGTCATTCCCCTTGAATATTTGACGAACCCTCCCCCCTCCCCTCTATTTAATTCCTTTGCAACCACCCCTCCCCCTCAAAACAGCCGCGGGTATCTAGGAATTATGCGCGGACTCCTTCCAGTAGGTGAGGGGGGGAGTCTGGGGGGGCTTTTCCCAGGAAAACTTAAGAGGCAATTTCAGGCTGTAATCAGCAGTTTCGTCTCCTTTTCCACTGCAGAAAGCTTAGTTTTCACGTGTAAATAAATCATTGTTTTTTTGAAAATTAAACGAAACTTGTTTCCTTTTTTTCAGAAAAACGGGGGAGGGGAGGGAGGAAGGGATGAAGGATTGGGGAGAGAAGAAAAATTGGAGGGAGACGAATAAGGGAAGCGGAGGAGAATGTCATCGGGGGAAAACAGGTACAACACTTCGGCGTTGGCGCATTTACGCCAACTGCCCATCAGAAAATCGAATTTTTTTCTGCCACCCCTAAAAAAATACGAGACGTACTATTCGACCCCTCCCTCTTTCGGCGTTCTATGACTGATCGCTCGAATGAAAAATTGCCACCTCGCTGACCTCGCATCAACTTTTCATCTTCATCTACTTTTTGAAAAATTGACGCTACGCGTCGATTTCAGCGTTACGCGGCGCAGCCCGGAGCTAACCACCTGCCCCCCCCCCCCCCCCCCCCCCCNGTTAACGCACTCGTAACGCAGGCTTAGGCCCACTACCCCTTAGCGCATTACGTATATTAATCGGCCCCTCTCCTTGTACATTCACTTGCGTGAAACCTACCTTTCAACGAGGAGTCTTCCCTAAGTTACAAAACGCTAAACTCAAACACCCTACTGCTTACCATCAACCCTGGAGACAACAGACGAAAAATATTTTGAAAACCTAGGAAGATCCCTAAAAATCGTTAAGGTTTTTCCTTATGGCCCCCTGACTCCCTGTGACGCTGCGTGACACTGGACCCCCCCCCTCCCCCACATCACCGAAATGAGCTATGTGATTTGTGGGAAAGTAATTTAAAAATGACCGCATTTCATATTTCTGACGAAAAACATCCAAAAATACCGATTACATTGAGTGTACGCTGTTCGTTAACGCATATTTGTGGGTGCTCCTTGGAGGCTTTTCGGATGAGACATGAAATTTCCAGATTTTGCAATTTCAGAGTTGTATTTGCTTAGGCACAATAAGAAAAAATGGAAGTTTTATGAAAAAAAAGAAAGTAAATAAATCCCAGATTCTACTAACGAGAAAATTGTTTGCCGAAATCTTTTAATCTTGGCAATTTCTTACTACATTTCTCTGAGCGCGATTTCCAATAAGGGACCAAGGCTGCTCTCATGTGTTGACAATATTGAGAGGGTTATAGAGAAAATCAATGAAGGGTTGATAAGAGAACCACTTGAAAATCGATAGCCGCGTGTAATGTTTCCTTCCGCGTGGCGTGAAACATCTATTCCACCATCTAGGCGGAGAAATTGCATATACGCTTAATTGAAGGAGTTTTATGATTCTGCGGCCTATTCAAACGTAAGTAGGTATTTTACTGTCTCCCATGGCATGGCCCTGCAGATTTGGTAAAATTTTTCTCGTCACTCAAGGAAAGACCTGACAATGTGTTATCTCGCAAACTTAACTACTTAAGTAATTAGGTAGCATAAAAGAATTTGGATTATGAAAAATTCTATCACTGATTTACCAATGAAAATATTAATTTTATTTTTTCTACATACAATTTCAAAATATTATTGCTTCCATTTGTATAAACTGAAAACGGACTATCTTGATGAAACAAAAGGGTACCTATATGTAACACTTGAAATATTTTCGGCAACTGTGGTAACAGAGAAGTATGGAGGAACAAACGACTCCAATGAATCGATCAAGTCAGTTGTACAAAACATTTCTGCTACAGTTGTATCAATTCTGCTGAAAGAGTATTTTTTTTGCTTCCAAAAGAAACATCGATAGTTTCACACGATCGAATAAGTAAACTATGATTCTTGAAACAAGGTTCCCATGTAAAAAATAAAAAATGATAGGACTTGGAAAATTTTTTTATTATTTAATAAGAAATCACAGCCTCTCACAGGAGTACACCTTAACATGAAGATTTGAAATTTTCTTTGAATGCTACAGCGAGTTACTTTGAAACATCTATAAGACTCTTGCTTGCCGGAGACAAGATAAGGATGACATTTTGAGGATGAATGCATTTACAAACAGAAAGAGAACCGTACTCAACAATAACACGTCTGACAATATTATGCACTTCTTTTTTAAATGTAATTTAAACTATAGGGAAACAATAGAAGGAAATAGATAGTTCTGATTTTGTTTGACTCATATGTCAGATAAAACAAAGATGGTAAACCTCTGGAAACTCTATTGTGTCTTAATTTAGGACATAGCGAATTTCCTATCATAAATATTTTATTTGACAGAAAAACTATCAGCGTAGTTCCTTAAAGCTCAGGTGATGTTTTTCTTAATGTTATGAATGCTTCATGAACATTTCCGGCAGTAATGTGTTTGGTTTTCAGTGATGAAAGTAAGACAGAGGTGGAGGTTTCCAAACGGTTAGACTGCAATTTTAATTTTCCGAGTTTAGTATCGATGAGGCACTTTGCCTACAGGAGTTTACTTGAAATTTGGTCACTGTTGTTCGGTGAACTGAACACGATCGATTTAACGAATAGCTCACTTGAAAATGAATTTACAAGTTAAAAAAGAGGTAGTTTTATGACAGACAGCAAGTTCGCCCAGATTTAATCAAAATAATTCAAAAGAAATTGGTCGTGTACTAGAGGACACCTATTCTTTTTATAATAATGATAACAATTTTTAAAAAATGTTATTCTTCAGTTATCTTTAAAAATGTTCCCTCCTTATCTGGTACAGACAACTTGACAACTTTCCGCCACAAAGGGGCATACGTTTACTGGACCATTTTATTACTAATACATAGCTAAAACATAGATCTATGGGAAGGATAGAGAAATTTGGATACTGTAAACACAAAAGTTATTTTCATTCAAAAGATCAGTCCAAAGTTGGTGCAGATCTGAGTAAATAAGTTTGTATCATTTTTAGCTTACAAAGCCTCACTAGGGTCCTCAGGAAAATTAAATGAAAAAATTTTCCCGTTTGTGATTTGGAATTCCATTCCACTCTACTCGAGTGTAGCAGTTTCTAAAGCTAAAGAGGTATTCTGCATTTTTTTCTCGCTGCTTAAGCCCAGTACCAAATATAGGGCTAAATGCCGATGAAAATGGCGTGTTTTGAAAATTTAATGAAAGACATATGAAGTCTTGTCAAAGTATTCAGGCCCCACCGAACAAGTTTTTACTGACACTTTCCGTTGAAATCACCATTTTAGAACTCATATCTGAGTCTTCAGATAATTCTTTCGCAGGTTTGGAGATTTCCATTAGATACGATGAATCTTGAGATTCTTCACCATCTGGGGAAGAAAAGTGAAAGCATGAAAGAAGAGAGAAGGGAGAAAGAAATTCATAGCAAATTGCTTGCTTGGTCAATGAAACTACAGAGGTAATTACTGATAAAACGCTGAAAATTATGTATTTATAATAAGCTCAACAAAGAGTGGGGATATGTTTTTTAATATGAAAATAAGATAGGAGCAGTTCTTGGCAAGGACCTCACACCTCCCATTGTCACAGTGTGAGCCACACCAGCCCTTTCGAGACAGGGAAGGTTTAAATAATGGTATTAATATGCAGAATCTAGAAAATTCTTACAATAAATGTTCAGGAGACTGGGAGCATTTTTGACAGTTTACTCTGAGGGGAAAATACTTTTATGTTTCGGCAAATTTTCTCTTTTGCTGGCACAAAAATCTTGGGAACACCTTTCTTAAATCTCTCTCTAGCCTGTGCATTTTTTAACTAAAAAATTACTTCAAAAAACCTTCAGTCCGATTATTTGAGAGATTCCATTTCATTTTATCCACTAGACTTAATTTATCCCAGTTGGCTAATTTTTATTATAACTTCCCTTACTTATTTTTCTTCCTACTGAGTATCCCTAAAATCTTTCAAAATATTATAAAGGTCCGTCATGGAAAAATCTTTGGTTAATATGTTCTGATTGAACTATGTATGGCCTTCTCTGGGTCGCTTTTACTTCATGGACCACTAGACAAGGTCTAAAGTAGGAAAGAGCGTCACAAGCTTTCTCTTCAAAATCTTATATTGAAAAGGATTCTCACGACGCGAAGTTCAGAAATCAACTCATGAACAAGATATTAACAAGCATTTTTGACAAAGATCAAATGGAATTTAGATTACACAAATGAGGTCATTTGTGTTTTTGCCGTTTAACCAATGTTAAACAAAAACTTTTTTATTTTATTTAGAAGCTGATCTCCAGACTTCCCATGGTTTGATTCGTTTTCCTTGTGAAATTTTTAAGAGAGAATACATTGCGTAGTGCTTCAATTCATACCTTGTCTGACGGTCCCATTGGAATGAGAGGAAAAAGGAACAATTGGACCTAACCCAAAGATGGACCATCCTGGTAGTGCATTGTTCTGCGTTCCCTTGGGAAATACTTGAGAGTCCACGTAAGGCAGTGTCTCTGTTATCTTCTAAACTAGATCATTTGCATTCATGCACAAAGAAGAGGCTCTTACCTGAGACTGGACTGACTTGCACAAGAGCGTCGGCAACATAAGATATCATCGTAATGGTAAACGCATTGTCCCTGCATAAAGACAGAGATTTATGCAAAGTTTCAAGGGCGGTCATGTTGTCTCCCATGAGAGCTTGCACGAAACCAATACATGTTAAGATCGATGCATTCAGAGGCGACAGCAAAAGTGCCTGCAAAGTAAAAATATTTTAAGTGAGGGCTCAGATTGTCGCTTATTTAACCACCCGAATTTAAACCCCGAAAAAAAAACAATCCCTCTTAGCGGCCAAGCATTGGCTGCTAAGAGGGATTGTTTCATTTCTTAGCGGCCAAAGGCGATTTCTTACCGGCGAATTGCTGTTTGGCCGGCTTGTGTTTCAAACACTGCTGACAGTAAGAGCCGGCATTGGGGCAATCTGTAGAGGCTAAGGTTTGAGACATTCAAATTTTGCCATTTTCTTGTCTGTTTTTTTGGCCTGGCAGGAACAATATTGCTACAGCATGCAGGCAAGAAACGTGTTGACTGGCAAAGGTATATCTATTCTTCATTTTCTTTTCCGGTTGATATCATGTTCGTTTGCGTTACTAAGCATCATCTCTAGAGATAAAAGATTAGTTAAAAGGAGAGCAAAAACGTGCTCTCTGAATATTCGCAATTTAAATAGTATTGCATATAAATGATGGGTATTAATTCAACTACTGTCATCTTCCTGAAAATTTGTTAAGTATTTTGTATACTATTGTAAGTAAGCAGTACTGGAAATTTGTTTTGGTACATTGAGCACTTTGTTGTGCTTTGTTGAGTGTCTCATTGGACAATTTTTTTATAGTAAACAGATTAAAACTTACCTGATGATGGTACTCCAGCGCTTTATCATACTTTTTCAGTTTACGACATGTATGACCTAAGTTATTTAATAATGATCCCCATTTCTCTGAGATAAGGGACTCATTGATTTCACGCACCCGGCTCAAGGTTTGCTCAAAAAAGTTTTCTGCAGCTACATAGCTAAAATTAAAAGAAGAAAAATAAAGTTCATAACTTTGAAATATTCAAGTTCATTCAGTGGATAGAAGAGACAGTGAAAGGTGAACGATTTCTTGAGAAGAAAAAAACTATGAGAAAATGTAAAATCCAAGCCAAATAAGTTTACGCCCTTTTAGATTGCAAAGGAGGATCCGCCATCTTGATTCTTGCATTTACTTTCCATGCTAAAATGGCATCATACGACAGTGGCGTGGCGTGAATTGCGATATATCGATTGATATACCATTTAAACCTATGAAAAAAGATCGATTATCAGGGTGTTCGCAGCGAACACCTTAGTAATCGATTCTTTACCATAGCTTCAAATGGCGAGATATCGATAATCGATTATTCACGCCACGCCACTGTCATACGATCGCAGTCTAAAAAGGCGTGAACTTTTTTGGCATGGACTCTGAGAAAGAAGCAATAGTGCTCTTGAATCTAAGTTACAATATTGCATTGTTAAACGGCAAAGCATCAGAATAGAGCATCATTGAAAGATTAATGATCTGTGTCATTATTGAGGGTTTGCTGTGAATCACTAGACAAGGTAAGAAATTGAGCGTGATGTTTTCTTTACAGAATTTTTGGCAGAACTTATTAAACTTGTATTAACACAAAATTCAAACTTCCTACTCATGAAAAACCCATCATCAACGCAGGTCAAATTAGGAATTGAAATCAACTTATGCATCACACAAGTATCTGGAGCTTGATTTAACACACACTTCCTTCCTCTTTCTAATTCAAGATACCTTCAATCTCATCGAAAAAAGTTAAGCTACAGGAAAATTCTTCCATGGTAAAATATACCGAAATCAGTTGGTGTGGTCGATTTGACTTGAGTGGATTTTAGTTTTTCTGTGAGAAATAAGTACAAATTAACACAGACAAAGACCGTTACTTTCCAACTTATGAGTAAAATTTGGAGAGTTTTGACGTGTCCATTATGTTCTAAATAAAATTTTGATTCGGAAACATATCGACGATGAAATTGCAAATATGCATATCTCGGTTGCGACGTATCAAAATCTTCACTGCTATTTTGTTTTTGTTCTGTGTCTGTTGAATATAAAGACCGAATACTGACATCATGGCTTGAAATTTTCACAGAAAATTCTTCACATAGAGAGCAAAAATCACTGAAATGTTCAAGAAAAGATGGCCAGTGGTTTCCAATGTAGAAAATGAGGTATGATAAGAAGTATGCAATGCTGCAAATCAAGAAACGCGTTCCTGTAGTTTCACTAAGATATATTGTGGTGCTAAATTCTGTATCCTTTCTTGTGGTCCATTCCATCACTTAAAAGATCAAATTTGAGAAAATCTTGTGTCTGCATAAAGAAGTTCATTAATGTTCTCTCAAATAAACAGAGGAGTAGCAGGAACTTTGAAACACAGTGAAAACCGTATTTTCGTAGTTTCACTGCTGCTATGCTTGGACTTATATCAATATTTGCGCATTACTGCAGAGGCACTTACTCTTGATTGTAAAATGCTATGACTCCCATTTCATGCATAACAAACGGGTCATTCTTAGAGATCTTTGCAGCCTGTTTCACATAATTTTCCGCTAGTTTCAAATTGCTTGTGAAAGCGCATTCTAAACTTAGATACAGCAGAGGAAGGTGGCACCTGAAAAACAAAGAATTAAAAGTTACATGAAAGTTAAACACATGAGAAAGGTAAAATCACTCATACACTATAAAATTAGTAAATAAAAACTCCTGCTCTTAAAAAAGTTGATATCAAGATATGCCAATTTGAATATTGAAATTATTGCTGGGCGAGTAAACCAAACTACGTGTGACGGGGAATCCCTCTTTCTCTGATTCACAAACCTTGTGAACTTGTCAAGAACGATTCATTACACTGAGAAATTTAACCACTGTAAAGTACATTAAAATCGGTTCAATGCTATATTCGACTCTAGTATAATTTACTTTGTTTATGATTAGGAATTTCGATTTTGTAGACTAAAAACTGCTACGTACTTTCTCTTTTGCAAGTTGAAATTCGAAAATCTCCAAGTTTCTAACCAGACTGTTCCATGTGTTTTGATTAAATACCAGTCTCGTGCTCCTGACCCTGTCTCTTGGTCTATTCCCTTGTTAATCATGTTAGCTTTTTTTTTCCTTTTTCTTCGTCTCAACTCTGATAAAATTTCAATTTAAAATATGAAAGATTAAACTATGAGTAGAGAGGAAACTCAAGCTTTCTTTAAGAAATTCCATTCACATGGGTTTGGATTTGGACAATAAACTAGGATAACTGACACTTTAATACCTGCAGTCCATAGTACAAAAAGTGGTGAGAGGCAGGAAAGGTGGAGAGGGGCAGAGTGTCAGTGTCTGGCCTGGAGTATTGTTTAGGGATTGAAATACAGATACATTACGATGACTAAAATGCGAAACCATGTATTTCCATTGCGGTTTTTCAAACTTTCCACTCCCATTTTAAATTTTTCGAAGGAAAACAATCCAATTTTAAAGCTTGAAATTTATATAGAATATTCTGCTATTAGAGAGGGGAAAATCAAGGCAGTTTTCAAGCAATTACATTGAATAATTTTCCAAGAAAAAAATAAAAAGTGACAGGAAGTCTGCAACTTCGTAAACGGAGGTATGTGGTTTCGTACTTCGGCCATCAATTTGCTTGATCAAAGGACTGGGTCACAGCTAATGAATCGGTGAACGATTAACTTCAGCCACTCTCCTGACTTCCACCCTAACCTCTTACTTTTCGTAGCATGGGCTATACATAGCTTTCCTTGTGATCAGTCAAACAAGGTAGACTTGTGGCCAACTTAGGAGAGCAGTGCGAAATTCAATATACCTCCTCTTAGATTTAGTTCCACTGACAAGATGGGGATAGTTGATCTCCTGTTAAAGTCTCTTGGAACTTAAATAGGGGCTTTTCAGGATGTGAAGGAATAATGCGCTTACTTGTTTCCTTCTATAAAAGTTCCTTGGGAACAATCCTGATCCTGGATTGAGAATTTCTTACTTAAATCTATGGGTGAGAGATACCCTAACCTTGCGATCCTGGTACTTTCGCAGCAACGTCTGGGATAAAAGGTTCCTTTACTTTACGAATGGAATGCTTTGATTTTTAAACAATAATATTACCCCTTCATTATTTGATGTGCCTTGAAGTATGCTGCCATAGCTTGATCATGCTCACCGTCGGCAGCAAATGAGTGACCGTACGCAAGCCAGGCTGGTCCAAACAGTTTGTCCAATGCTGTTGCTTTCGTGAAGTACTTCCGTGCAGGGTCATTTTTACCTGAAATCGGAACATCATTCAGACTTAATATAAGGTTCTTCTTGCTTTTATCCGTTCATAATTGAATCTGATAATGAAAACACACCAACTCAGAAACTTTAAAATGCCCAAATTTCATTGAAGATGCCCAATTTTTAATAAAGACATTGAAGATGGCGCATCTATGTCAACTTGGGCCTTAAAAGTGTCCCAAAAAAATTTGTCCTTTGGCACCAAAAAGTTTTTTCTTAGATTAATTGCTTCACCTACTGCACAGTTTTATGTGTCTTGGGAAAATTTTCATTTTTCTGAATAGATATGTTTTCATTCTCACTGATTCAATTTTTTTATTCACATTGGTTTCAAAAGTTCTAAGTCTTTGAACGCAGCCCAAAAAAAAAAAAAAAGAGAAAAAAAAGAGAGAAAAAAGAAATTACCACGATGCCAAAAAGTTAAAACTTGAGATATTGAAAACACTGCACGAGGAAAAGTTCTCTGGTGGTCTAAGAAGACCCAAAACTTTATAGATTTCCCAACGTGACTTCCTCTTAATATTCCAAAGCATTTGCTTGAGCTAAACACACTCCCATCTTAATCTTGCATTGATAATCATTAGAGCTAAAAATGTTTACTCTCATTGAAATTTCGGAATTTTTTTGCCTTGCTAACCCCACAAAATAGTGTGGACCAACGCTATTTTTCTACCTTGATAGAGACGTGAAATATACATAAAAGCTTTTAAAACTGCCAAAAAGAATTAAAGAAGGAAGTAAAAAATAGACAGATTCCTATAGATACTAAAATTAGTGAAAGAAACTAAATTATAAAAAGGACACGAGGATCCAAAGCAAGCAGGATAGCAGAGTATTAGGGTTACTTTGAAACTTAAAAAAATTGAAGTTATGACTTCAAATTGACAGTGGGAACATGTGTGTGATAAGTTTCAATAGTTCCTAAAAATGGCCAATAATTAAGCTTACCTGTGGCGTAGTAGTAGCAGCCGACCGCAAACCAAGAGAGTGCCTCCTCCGGCTGCGTTTTCACCAGTTTCTGCGCGAGGTAAAATAGTTCTGAGCAAAAGAAGCAAAGATAAATGTTCAGCTTTTCAACCGAAAGAAAACAATAAGTGAGGTTATTTCACAAAACTTTCAAAAAAAATTCTGATGATTATTATAATAATCACAAGGCATATTGAGGTTTGCCAAGAACTTAATGACAAGTTCTATTTCCAATTTGAAGTTAAAAGAGAAATTCCATGAGGAGGCTTTTCCACCGAATGCAAAATATAATAAAAATTTCTCAAGAACAGAATTTTTTCCATTTAGCGACGTCCCATATAACTCTATTTCAGCTTAGTCTCATCTTTTTCTATTAACTTATTGCCTGCCACAGTCTTTAGGGTGCATGTTTCCCCTAGAACCATAGCATTCTCCACAC